ATACTGGGATCATTTGACACTTAGATTGCACACAGATGGGCTTTATTTAACTAATTATGTGACTTCTGAAGGTAATTGGTTGCACCAGATCTTATTTAGGGCCTTCATAGCAAAGTGGGTGAATACATATGCACGCACCACTTTTCCGTAATTAATTTTTTAGAATTTTTTTAACAAGTTATGTTTTTCATTTCACTTCACCAATTTGGACTATTTTGTGTATGTCCATTACATGAAATCCAAATAAAAATCCATTTAAATTACAGGTTGTAATGCAACAAAATAGGAAAAATGCCAAGGGGGATGAATACTTTTGCAAGGCACTGTATGTCACCACAAAATCTACGGGTAGACCTTGAAAGTTCAAGCCCAATGGGTGCTGCCATAGAGTTACATTAGAAGTGCCCATCCAAGAAGGCTCAAGGTCACAGATATGACATCAAATAACGTTATATATACCGTAGCTTTGATTGGACTGATCATGTCAACATCATACTTTCAAAATCTTAGCTAGCAAGCTAGCAGTCATCATCACAAATAAAATCGACAATCTACTGGCAAATCCTTTTCAATCCTTGTCATATGAAGATACATTATTAAGAGAAATTATAGATAAAACATATCGGTGCTCATCGGCCATTGGACATAAACATTACACAACAAGTTGGAAATCGCTAATTCAACGATGAGTGGTTTGGAAGGAAGCAGTGGCTAACTGCAAGCTTTGCAAAGCAATAACTAGCCTGCTATTCAGTGGAGTGGGTGTGTGGTCCAAGTCTGGGTTTAAGTGTCTCTTTTCCAAGCTTAAAAGGATAACATTCATCATGACGGGCCAGAAAAGTTGAATACATTGGCCATGCTGTCAATCCATCATAACTTCTGCCATGTTCAAAACAACTGGAAACTCGGAACAGGGCAATCTCAGACTTCAGTGAGTTCAAGACAACTGGGAACTCTGAAAAAACAAGCTCAGACTGGGAAAATATGTTTTGAACAGTCATCCAACTCGGAATTCCAAGTCGGGAACTCTGCCTCTTTCTAGAGCTCCGACCTGAAGATCACTGACGTCATGATTCAACCTTGTTTTTTTCTGAGTTCCCAGTTGTCTTGTATGCACCATGAATCCAGAGTTTGATTACAAAATCTGCCCACGAAGGACCATCGCACCACCTTCCTGTTCAAGTGAGCACCGCACAACAAGGTGAATCCAAAAATGTATTGTATGCTGCTGCATAAATGATGTGTTATGCCAGGGAGATATGTATACTGTAGCTAAGAAAGTAATACTAAGTGTATGTTGTGTAGTAAGCTGTTAGTAGCCCATGTGCCTCACCCTAATAATTTGGTCCCTTTCCCCTCATAACTTAATTCTGTAAGAACGGCCCATGTTCTGAATTTTGTCGCTATACATTTCAAAAGTGCGGAACAAATAGTTATTTTGACTACGTCCGTCCTAGCTCGCTCATTAATGTCTTAATCTAAATTACGGATTGCCTCCCATCCACTCGTCGTCCCCTTATGCCAGTTTGAACATCTCAATTGTCAGCAGAAACCAAATTAGTTTAATCAAGTCAGCCATATCAGCTATGTTTTTTTTAAAGGCAGTAAATGAAGTTGAATTAACTTTTTCGCTGCCAGACAAGGCTCTGCTGATAGCCAGGTGTAGCAGTGGTAAGGTGTTGGGACTGCTGTTGGGACTCTGCTGTTGGGACAGCTTTATGTAGGCCCTAACAGTTTGTGGGCACCGTTTGTCACTGTTATAGTGCAATGAATGTATTGTTTAGTGTTGTGTTGTGGCTTTGCATCAAAAAATATATATATATGGTTTGCCCCAATCAAGATTTACATGCTAAAATCACCTCTGCTTTTACTCAAGTATGACAATTGGGTACTTTTTCCACCACTGGAAAGTGGTCCAAAATGTTAGTATAAAGTATACCTGTTTTAGCCACATTACTCAATGAATTTGTAAAAAATATTATCTATAAGGGTGGCAGATGAACTGGTCACTCTTGTGGGCTTGTAGAGGGGATATGCTTAAATAGCTGTAGTAAAAAAAAGTTGTGTATTATAATTACTGCACTTTTGGAGCTAGGAACAAAAGCGTTTAGCTACACCCGCATTAACATCTGCTAAAAATGTGTATGTGACCAATACAATTTGATTTGATTTTGATTTGATAAAAAGTATTCAAAAGTATATGTGTCAGTGAGTGGTTCTCACTTTTAAATACATTTATGTTGTAGTTACCCAGCTACACAAGTCCTCGTCCACTACACGAGACCTAGTCTAGTTACTAATATTTTGTTATGATGGCTTCTACTCAAGTGAATGCATTTAATAATGCGATTCCTTGCTGCGTCTCCTTAAACAAGCCATCTGGCGTTCCATAGTAGAAAGATTGTCTCCGCCTCTTTGCTTACATTCTCCAATGTGCCATAGAAACGAAAGACGAGCCCCCTGTTCCCGCGCAATGTTCCCATCCTTATAATGCCAGCAGAGTGCAGACGCAATGAAACGTCAGCCGTTTATGCAAATCAGGTTGATTGAAGAAAATCAGAAAATGGAGGCGTGGATGGAGCGCACGCGCAGTGAGTCCACAACTACCCAGTCCCTTACACAGCGAGCGAGACATCAACAAGAGAGAGCCGTATCTGATGCTGGTGAATTGTGAGAGTAGTTAGGCTACATTGTAACGACGCGTGTTCAAGGTTATTACTTTGTATCAACTACGTTCGACTTGCATTAAGGTAAGAATTGTGTTGGCTATTGTTCAAGTCTAGACTTCTCAAAATGTGCAAAATTTTTGTGTCAGTTTGCTTGGCTATTGTAGGCTTCAAAACAAGCAAGCTCCGAGTTGTCTTGGCCACTTGAGAAGGCGAACAATTTAACATCGATTTTCACAGTTTGAGAAACAGCATTAATTGGCCTATAAGCCTAACCTATTTATTCGTTTTTTATTTTATTTTTATTTTGTTAAAGTATTTAATATGTTAGTTTAAATGGGAATGATACTTGGAAAAACGATTGCAGCAATATGCCTGTTTGTTGACATCTGATGGTGAAAGTGAACTAAAGAAACCGTCTGCAACATAATCAAAAATGGGTGCACAGCAGATGTAGGCCTACGCATTTTATCCCCTTTATTTCGAGTTATATAGTGCCGTGTGCATTGTATGGTGTCTTCACGATTAATTAGTTTTAGTTGTGATTCTGAATAGGTGGATTCCTAGCCTCCAAGTCCACTTAGTTTGCAATGTTGAAATGTGCATGTTCCGCTTGTTATTCATGACTGTTTACTGACGTAAGTAATGCCCAAGTTCGAGACCCCATCATGTCTACCTACCCGAGATGGTGCGCTTTCCAACACGCCGGCGATTACTCTGTGTCAACACGAATGCATCTATCACAAAACAAGTAGGAGCCTAACCAAATGATAGCGACTAACTAAAATGATAGCAAGATTAAACCACCATTTAAAATAATTTATGTAGGCCTACGTTGTCACTGTTAAAAACCGAAGCTTTGAACTTCGTGCGCATTTGGTGTTTGGAGTTGCACTGGCCAGTGACGCGGCGTCGCTTGAATAACAATTGGTACCCTAAATATCACATTACAAGACTATTCCAAAGCATAATTGTCTCGTTTTGGAGAGGAATATGTTATTTGTATGTAAAAAGTTTGATAATGCGGTTGTTTCAATTACCTAATCGAGTTTATTGACTCACACTGCAGACGGTGGGTTGAAAGGTTCAGTTAAAATGGGTGCGCATGAGGCTGCTCTTGTGCCATGCTTCCTCGTGTAAGTGGGCGGTGAACGTATCGATTTACAGTAGTCTAAGGTGGAAAGGTTATTTTTCATCATGACCGACTAATTTCGTTTTTAAACATAGGCCGTTTTTAATGACTAACGATGTTAGTCGGTTTTACAACTTTTTATTCTAAATATTTCGCACATAATAGCTCATCACAAGCTCCATTTCTCCATCACACACACACCCTCCCCGCCTCCCTCCCTCCCTCCCCGCCTCCCTCCCTCCCTCCCTTCCCGCTTCCCTCACTCCCCCCTACCCCCTCCCCGCCTCCCTCACTCCCCCCTACCCCCTCCCCGCATCCCTCACTCCCCCTCCCCGCATCCCTCACTCTCCCTCTCCGCCTTTGAAGTCTGTTGCCATGTAGAGTTACGTCACGTACTGTACTATCCTGCTACTGTCTGGTTGTGCCACTGCACTGTCAAGAGACCCGAAGGACTGCCGCTTATATGGCAAAACAAGTAGGCTATAGGGGGCGCGGCTCACGGTTTTGCCGCATGATTATTTTGAAGGCTTCCATGCTTCGTGATAGGGTTTCCATGGCAAAATAAGAGGTACTTCTCCTTTAAATGCCGATTAGAAATAAACTATTAACATTTCTTCACATTTCTTGCACCACGAGGTATTCACACAAGCAGCAGGTCCGATCAACTTAGCTTAGGCCTTGGTTATTTCATTAACTGCGTCGGTGCGTCTGTCTTATAGCATCAAACCAGAGTTTACAATTTTGTCCTAGCTAAGGATATGTAATATTTGGCCATATCGCTGCGGCAGCTATGCAATGCAAATCTCCGAAGACGATAAGAGCGCAGCAGCAGGGTGACATTATCTGTCTGACACGCAGACAGCCAGCTGACCTATATTCGCTCCATTTGGGTCAGTGCATGGCAAGATGTTCACTTTCATCTGCTGCGCGTTATTGCGGGAGGCTTCTGAAAATTATTGCATGTCTATCAACCATTATTACAATAGTTAGCCTATATGGAAGAAAAAAAGATTGAAATGGTAGCCTGTTGTTCCGCTGTTTGGCACACAGGCTGAATCTTTTGCAAATAAATCACTTTTGAATCATACATTTGATATGCACAAAATTGACCATAACCATATCCTATTATATGCCAATCCCTTTCATAATGATTTGTACAATTTTTTTTATTTATTAAAATGCAAATGCCTTTGCTGTTTTGTGTTTTGGAAAACAGATGTTTGGCTTTCACAAGCCGAAGATGTACAGGAGTTTAGACGGCTGTTGCATCTGCCGCGCCAAGTCCTCCAGCTCGCGCTTCACGGACAGCAAGCGGTACGAGAAGGACTTTACGAGCTGTTTCGGGTAAGCAAGGCTTTCTGACAATTACCGCGCCCTTATAGCGGATTTCCATGTCTATGCATTTTTGCAAAAGTAGAATGGCATTGTAAAAAAAAAAAAAAAACTGAGCAGTCAGTTCTGTTTCCATAGCACTCAGTGCGTAATTACGCATATAATGCAGCAAACTGGTGGACTGCTGCCTCCCATACACACTCTGAAAATTATCAAAACATTATTGTCCCTAATGAGTGGACAGCTACAGTGAGGGAAAAAAGTATTTGATCCCCTGCTGATTTTGTACATTTGCCCACTGACAAAGACATGATCAGTCTATAATTTTAATGGTAGGTTAATTTGAACAGTGAGAGATAGAATAACAACAACAAAATCTAGAAAAACGCATGTCAAAAAATGTTATAAATTGATTTGCATTTTAATGAGGGAAATAAGTATTTGACCCCCTCTCAATCAGAAAGATTTCTGGCTCCCAGGTGTCTTTTATACAGCTAACGAGTTGAGATTAGGAGCACACTCTTAAAGGGAGTGCTCCTAATCTCAGTTTGTTACCTGTAGAAAAGACACCTGTCCACAGAAGCAATCAATCAATCAGATTCAAAACTCTCCACCATGGCCAATACCAAAGAGCTCTCCAAGGATGTCAGGGACAAGATTGTAGACCTACACAAGGCTGAAATGGGCTACAAGACCAGCCAAGCGCTTTGGAAAGGTGAAAACATTTGGTGCGATTTTTGAAAATGGAAGAAACCAAAAAACTTAGTAACTCGTTTTGTTTTTTTTTATCGCACTGCTTTGCATTTATCTTGGCCAGGTCGCAGTTGTAAATGAGAACTTGTTTCAACGGTTTACCTGGTTAAATAAAGGTGAAATAAAAAAAAAAAAAAAAGACCTGCCCCAATCTCCCCCGGCCGGGGCTCCATGAAAGATCTCACCCGTGGAGTGGAAATGAAGGGAAAAGGGTGAGGAACCCAAACACAGGGAGGATCTTGTCATTTTTCAAAGGGTGGGGCCAAATCCCCCGAAAACAATTGGTAACCACTCGCCGTGAAGGACGAAATCCCCTGTCCCGCAAAGGGCCCCCCGCTCAAAAAAGCACAATACAGGCCCCCCTGAAGTTTGCCAAAGAAAATCTGAAAGATTCAAGGAGAAAATGGGTGAAAGTGTTTTGGCAAGAGACCCAAAATCAAACCTTTGGCATCAACTCAACTGCCGGTTTGGAGGGGGAGGATGCTGCCTATGACCCCAAAACCATCCCCCCCGTCAAACATGGAGGTGGGGAAAATATGCTTTTTGGGGTGTTTTTTTGCTAGGGGACAGGACAACGTAAAACCCCATAAAGGGACGATGGACGGCGCCAGTACCTTTAATCTTTTAATGAGAACCCCCTTTCCCTCAGCCAGGGCATTGAAAAAGGGTGTGGAGGGTTTTTCCGCATACAAAGACCCAAAACACAAAGGCCAAAGGGAAAAAAGGAGTGGCTCAAAAAGAAGCACATTAGGGCCTGGGGTGGGCCCCCCGTCTCCCAAACCCTTTAAACCCAAAAAATCTGTAGAGGGAGCTAAGGTTTTAGTGCCAACGCAGGCTCGAAAAACCTTAAAGTTTTTGGGAAGATTGCAAAGAGGGTGGGGCAAATCCCTCCCGGAAAGTGTGCAACCTGGTGGGCCAACACAAGAAACGTCTCCTCTGTGATTGCCAACAAGGGTTTTGCCACCAAGTACTAAGTCATGTTTTGCAGAGGGGTCAAATGCTTATTTCCCTCATTAGGGCGGCAGGTAGCTTAGTGGTTAAGAGCATAGTGCCAGTAACCGAAAGGTCGCTGGTTCTAATCCCCGAGCCGACTAGGTGAAAAATCTGTCTATGTGCCCTTGAGCAAGGCACTAACCCTAATTGCTCCTGTAAGTCGCTCTGGATAAGAGCGTCTGCTAAATGACAAAAAAAAAATATTTCATTCTGTCTCTCACTGTTCAAATAAACCTACCATTAAAATTATAGACTGATCATGTCTTTGTCAGTGGGCAAACATACAAAATCAGCAGGGGATCAAATACTTTTTTCCCTCACTGTACATGTGAATTATTGTAAAATGGTCAGAAATTATGTTCCTCCTGGTAACCTAAATGTAATGGCATTATGAACATCCATAATATTTACATTGTTCACATGGTCCTGCTTAACCCATATTTCACATGTTTTCCCCTCATGTAGATTATGTGAAATTCGGTCTGGAGAAATCTGTAATGCCTGTGTACTCCTGGTGAAACGATGTAAGAAACTCCCAGTGGGGTCTAAGAAAAACTGGAATCATGTAAGCTCCACATTTTGTCTATATCTCCTCCTCACCACTCACCTGCCTGTTGAAAATGGTTAAGAAGAATACCAAAAAGTGATGGGAGCACCTCTCTTCACTTCTCCTCTCTTCTCTTCACTTCTCTTCTCTTCTATCCGATCCTAGGTGGTTGATGCCCGTGGAGGCCCCAGCCTAAAGATTTCTTCCAGGCCAAAGAAACTGAAGTCCCTCTCCAAGAGAGCCATGCCAAGCCAGATCAGCCGACTTCAGAAAGAGCTAAAGAGGAACAGTAAGTCCTGTTCACAATGCTCCATAAACATATTAAGGTGTGACCACTTTTAGGTCAGTTTAGCCAATTCGGTAATAGATCAATGCAACCAGAAGACCCAATCTCAGTGCTTTTCAGATGTTGAGGCACTGAGTCAGACAATATTTTTTTCATTTCACGAGTATCCTTGTATCGTAGCCTAAATATGTACATATTCTGGAGGTTGAGATTCAAACATTGTGCGACATTTCCACTCAGAACATACTTCTTCTTCAGTCTACCCAATGATGTACACTACAGTATTGCCTACTACATCTATGGTTCCCCCCCCCCCCCCCCCCCCCCTCCCTCTCCAGACTCTGATGCCCACAGCACCACGTCCAGTGCCTCCCCGGCCCAGTCTCCCAGCTACAGCAACCCTTCTGATGAGGGCTCCGACACAGAGCTCTCCCCAGGCCCCAGCCGCTCCCCTGTCTTCTCCTTCCTGGACCTCACCTACTGGAAGAGGTAAGGCCACATTTTTTTTTTTTTTACCATCTTTAATTATATGGCCTGTATGTGTGTGGCCACTTTTTGCTGGTTTATAATTTTTTTTATGAACTGTGTGTGGTGATTTCATGAGTCTCCAAACAAAACACTGTGTCTGTAAAATCCAGCCTGGAAGCGTCCATGTTCATTTTCACCAGACGTGCAGCCTCACCATTGCTTTTGGCACTCAGATAAGAGAGAAAATAAAGGAAACATGAGCCATCTAAGACTTTATTTATTTATTTATTTATTTTATATGCACATATGCATTCCTCGCTGTAACAATAATTGACCATATCTTGTATGGTTGCATAAACTATATCAGTATTACATGAATAATCCCAAGTTCCTTTGCTCCTCCTCCAGGCAGAAGGTGTGTTGTGGGATCATCTACAAGGGCCGCTTTGGGGAGGTGCTCATCGACCCTCACCTCTTCAAGCCCTGCTGCCGCAAGAAACAACAACAGCAGCGACAGGAGCTGGAGGAGGGGTACGAGGAGGAGGTTGTGGAAGAGGGAGAAGTGGCGGAGGAGGTGGTGGTGAGGAAGGAAGATGAGGTGGAGAAAGAGGAGGTGAGGTCAAACAGCCAGGAGAGCTCTGAGACTCCTCAGCTACAGGTCATTGTGACAACATCTCAGACCAAAGAGGAGGAGGAGGAAGACTGGTGATGTTGCACCACAGTGTGTGCATTTTTCAGGAAGCCTTGGGAGTGCTCCTGGTTTACAAGCACTTACAAAAAGAAGTTACCGCTGATTGCCTTTAGTCAGCGAGCAGCTGAATACGGTCATTTTGTTTGTTTGGTAACTTATGAACTGACTGAGCCATATGGACTAGTTTTTCCCAATTCATCTGGTCTTGTTGTACTTGGTATTCTCCTTGTCCTGGGTTTGTCTTCATTAGGCTGGGCATGCAACGGAAAATGTTTGAAAACGTTTTGCAACGGAAAATTAGCATTTCTTATTGGGCAAGTCCATGTAGTCCACTCCTTGTTGCAAATCCATTTTATTCCGTTTGGTGCCTTATGAACACAACCCAGATGTTCGGACACCTCTCTTGGTGTTTTTCTCCTTGACATAAAATGCTGTAGTTTTGACTGATCGGCAGTATATCTTTACAGGTTACAGCCGTACAGTAGCACTTGTATTATCGTGAAACAAATTCACATTCACACTATATTTATCTGTTCTGTATATATGGGCCTGTATGTATTTCTATATGGGCCTCGGTCGAGAGCCTGTTCACAGCACCAACAGCCAATACACCAGCCTTAATTTAGTGAGGGAAGGCAGTGCTAGTGTTTTGTCAGTGTTGGTATACTAAGGGATGATATTAAGGGAACATTTTGAAACTTCATAATCTCCAGCACCACCCCAACATCAATGTGAAAACTGTTTTTCTTTGTTTTGTAGTCAAAAAGATGAGCACCAAATTAAAATATATATATATTATTCCGGATGATGTCATCTGGTGTGCATCATGTAATTTTAACCAATTATGAGCAAGCAAAGGTTAGTACTTTTGACCAGATTATGCTCCTGCTCAGATGTTGCATGCATCAACCAATGGTTGCATGCCATTATATCAACTGTGTCATCGACTGACAGATTGCTATAACATAGGTGGTCCTGTGTGGCTCAATTGGTAGAGCACGGTGCTTACAACACCAAATATCATGGGGTTTGATTCCAGCTTGGGCCACCCATATGTAAAATGTATGGATGCATGATTGTAAGTCGCTTTGGATAAAAGTGTCTGCTAAATGGCTTATTATTATAGATATGTGGTTAGCTGATACATAAAATACCTATCCAGGTGTTGTAAGATCTGGAAGGTGTCAGCAACGCCTGGGCAGAGGAACGTGCCCAATTTCAAGTGTTTCCGAATGATGTTTTCACCTTTTTTATACTACAAAATATAGAAATGCGCTGTTTTTATATACAGTATTATGCTGTTTGGGTGGTGGAGATGATGAATATGAAGTTGAAAATTGTGAAATGTCCCTTTAAGGAAATAGTTAGTGCTAGATGGGTAGTTTGAGTTTTCTCCTGCTTATTATCTTAATGTTGGCAATGGAGGCCTTAGGTTTTCAAAATGAAGAAAAGCAACACTCTCATCCAAAAGATCTGTAGATCAGATGCATGAGTCTAATACGCTATTGCATGGCCTTAAAAGCATATTACTTGCTCTTATTTTCCAAACCCAATGCCCCTGAAGCCCCAAAGTATTTTTTATTTTAAAAAATTAAACATGTTTTCACCGTATTATAAGTCAGCAAATACAATAGTAAACAGTTCAGATCATGAACTATTCCTCCTAGAGGCCTAGCGGGATTCCTTTGTTTCTTACTGTCAATAAGGGGACAGTGGATCTACTGCAACAACTTAGACCCACAATGCAATGCATTAACCCACATGAGCACAAAACTCAATTATGCCCCACTGTTGTCAAAAACTGTGTATTGTTTTTGATTCTCTGGGGAATTGGTTTTTTTTTTAATTCTATTTTTTTTTGTCTGCAGGATTTCCATATAATTTAAACTTCATGATACATATGTCAATTCTATTGATCCTTATTTAAGCATTTTATAATTTTGAGGACTTACTATCATGTTCAAAACGTAGGATTCATAATTCCTTGGTTACTTAAGCAACTACAATATACTAGCCTACATTATCAAACAAAAACCAAAGCACACTTAAATTCAGTCAACTTCAAATGCAAAACAGGTTATTTAGTCATTTATTTGTAATTTATAAGTGGTATAAAAAAAGGACACTAAAATCTGTTTTGTTTTTAATTATCCATACTATAGGGAAGATTGTATGTATATGTACATATTTAAATGGAGGGTGAGGGCTTTCTAGTTCAGTTTTTCTGTTATTTATTTCATATTGACTCAGTACTGGTACTCCCTGTATACTGTATAGCTATGCTATTTTCTACTCCCTATATACAGCCATGTTTATTTTTATTTGTTATTCACTGTATTTATTCCTCGTGTCACTATTACATTTTTATCTTATCTTTAACTCTGCATTGTGGTAATAGGACACGTAAATAAGCATTTCACTGTTTGTATAGACAACAGGTGCACACTAAGCATGTGACTAATAAACTTTGATTTTATTTGTATTAGAGCATTTTCCCCATATTACTATTCTGATGCTGGTTTCTCACTATGTAATAACTTCGATTTTACATTTAAAGTTAGGTAGTTCTGTGATATGATTAGCCATTAATGTAGTTCTTAAGCAATCAGTCTTCTAGTCAAATTCACAATTAACAGTATTTGAGTTATTGGGAGCAATACTCGTATTTATTTTATCAACATGAATGTGTAGTAATTTATTCTGTAATATACAAGCATTTGATTGGACCTGTATCCTTGTATCAGGTATCCAGCCTGTTGAACTATGAATTTCAGTGATTTGTGGTAGCCTATATTCAAACTTTGCTTTCATCTCATCTTTGCCCTGTAATGTTGCATATGAACTGCATAATTTAAAAGTTGAATCTTAGCTTTAGTGCTTCATGCATGTATTGTAGCTATGCAATTGCATTTATTTACCAAGTTAGATCTAGACAAAGCATTGTCTTGTGTTTTATACATGATGTACTTTTTTTGTACTAGTCTTTCAATAAAAGTAATTTGTGAGTTTGAGTCAGAATTTTCTGTTTTGCTAAAAACCTTGGACCTTTATCCTGTTTCAGGGGTTGTTTATAACCACTCCCTAAACTCGAACAGTAATCTGCACCCCTCTGTCATGTTGTCTATAAGGCAGCATGATGCATTGTTCAGAAACATGCATCTCTTTTCCTTAACTTGTTTGAATTTTCAGGCAGATAAAGCATATTTTATTAAAACCAGAGCGGATAAGAGGCAAAGCAAGAGGGATAACTGGGCCCAAAATCTGTCTTGTCCACTAGGTGGCGTTTTGTTTGTTTTCACTTACCAGGGGAGGAGTTAAACTTTTTTTTTTTTTGGAATCCCCTTTTACTCCCCAATTTCGTGATATCCAATTACGATCTTGTCTCATCGCTGCAACTCCCCAACGTGCTCGGGAGAGGCAAAAGTCGAGTCATGCGTCCTCCAAAACATGACCCTCCAAACCGCATTCCTTAACACCCACCTGCTTAACCCGGAAGCCAGCTGCACCAACATGTCGAAGGAAACACCATCAACTGGCAACCGACCCGTCACAAGGAGCCGCTACAGTCCAAGTAAAGCCTCCCCGGCCAAACCCTCCTCTAACCCGGACGACGCTTGCTATTGTGCACCGCCCTATGGGACTCCTAGTCACGGCAGGCTGTGACACAGCCTGGGATCGAACCCGGGTCTGTAGTGATGCCTCAAGCACTGCGATGCAGTGCCTTAGACTGCTGTGCCACTCGGGAGGCCAATCAAGGAGTTTTTGTATGGAGTTCAATAGCTAGGTTTTCATCAAATGGCGACAGATTTTCATGCAAATATTTTCAAATCCGCATTAAAAACAATATTCCCATTTTCCCACTAGTGATGTTTCCCTCAAATGTACTTGTTGCGGGTGATGTGTGTGATGACGTAGTCCACATAAAAGTAACTTTTGCTTGTAAAATTCCCATGTAGGCTACCGAATTAAAAATACAAGTTAAATGGGCTTCCATTTTCTTTTCAACTCTACTGATGGTTTTGTCACAAAAAGATTGTGCTATATGGTGAATTTGCCCCACTCTTACCAAACAATTGGGTTAGTTTGGTGAAAACATACAGGGAGGGAAGTACAGAACCAACGACGCTAGACGGAGGGAATATGTTTAAGCACACAGGCCGTTTATTAAACAACAGAGATAGCTGTCTGCTCACTATGCATGGACCCATAGTTCTCATATCGAGACAGTTAAAGTAAAACAGATTTCACATTACTTTACATGCAACACAGGAGGGTCCTTCTTCTGCCTATTGTCCCGAAGGTAGGAGCGGTTGCTTGTCAGGTAGAAGCCTTTTGTGCACTGGCAGAGTCCCGCCTAGGCACCGACCATAAAAGATGTGAATTTTGTGTGCTAACTCGGCATGAGGTGATTGCGATTACATGAGAGTTTGTGAATGTTTATGTTCTCAAATGGAAAGTCTGTGGGAGCAACCAATTGTGCTGTGCTGGGTGTTGTCCTGAGAGATATTGCTCTGTCCATTGGTTCTTGTCATAGAAAGATTGATTGAACTCAACTTAATGGTCATGACAATTTAGTCAGACCACCTATACCATTAAATTTAACGCAGTAGATACAGTGCAGATATAGCCTACATGAGATTATTATAGACAAAAAAGAGCGAGATTATTTTTATTTGTCAAACGGCAGCCAAGCTCATCATGTCACCAGAATAAGACCCTCTATTTATTGGAAAGGCCCATCAAGCTCATTAGCATACACTTTCACCACCCTGTGAAGTTCATAATTTATTTCATTTGTAGCCTAATAAACTGCATGCTTTCCCGAGTTGTAGTGGAAGGACCACACAATACACAGGTGCAGCTCAATAAATTAGAATATTGTGGAAAAGTTAAGTAATTTCAATAATTCAATTGACAAAGTGAAACTCATATATATTGTGGATTAATTACAAAAAAAGTGAAATAGTTCAAGCCTGTATTTGTTTTAATGTTGATGATTACGGCTTACAGCTCATGAAAACCCCAAATTCAGTATCTCCGAAAATTAGAATATGACATAAGCCCCCCACGCTTGACACGAGGAATGCAACAGTTGTAGCCCATTTCCTGGATAAGTATGTGCGTGGTGGCTCTTGATGCACTGACTCCTGCCTCAGTCCAACCCTTGTGAAGCTCCCACACATTTTTGTCCATGGAGTTTTATGAACATCCTCAAGGCAGACACAGTGAATTTTTTTTTTTTTTTTTACCTACCTCTAGGCTGCTATACATATTAATTTGGTTTGTCATTCTATAGTTTTTCATTGAAATTTAGTGGTAGGGCCTAATTAAATTAAATTAATTTAGAATTTATTATAATTAATTTTCCAGAAATAGTTTTACCAGTTCCGTGTATTCTCGAGTCAAATAGAAAAAAGTGAGGGAGCGCAACTCCTCCGGCGCTCCGGCAGCACTACATCCCTGAATGTAAATGTAAGACATTTATTTTCATTGTTAGAGCAGCCACTTGAGTATCTATCTGATCAATATAATGGATAATCTGTGTAAAAAAGTATTACTTTTTCCATGCGACCCCCAGTTTGGGTCGCATTAGATTAGGTCCCATATTATTAGTTAGATCTAGAGTTCTAAAAAAGGTTTAAAATAATAATACAAAATAATAATAACTACCTTTGGTTTGCTGTGATTGGCATAAGACCACCGGAAATGACAGATATTCCTTTCCTATGTCACGTGATAAATATTTCCACAACACGGAAATGCGGTGTAGCGTTCAGTTTCTCCAGAAATAAGAAATGTTTATCTTTGCCACAGACTGCTAAATTACATCTAGCTCCAGTTATAAAAGTGACTGTCAGTAGCTTAATGTAAGAGTTTATATTTCCATTCAAGTGTTAAAGAAAATTAACGGATGTAACGAGTTTGGAACATATGTAATCGTAAGTATGTTAGGCTAGCCTGCTTATCGTTACCAAATATTTGTATAACTAACTAAGCTCGTTGTTCTGTCTGTGATGTTCCTGGCTATAGTCTAGTCAGGTAACGTTAGTTGCTAGCCAGCTAGCGTTAGCTATATACACTGAACAAAAATATAAACGCAACGTAAAGTGTTGGTCCCATGTTTCATGAACTGAAAAAAAGATCCCAGACATTTTCCATACGCACAAAAAAAGTATTTCTCTCAAATGTTATGCACAACTTTGTTTACATCCCTGTTAGTGAGCATTTCTCCATTGCCAAGAAAATCCATCCACCTGACAGGTGTGACATATCAAGAAGCTGATTAAATGGCATGATCATTACACAGGTGCACCTTGTGCGGGGGACAATAAAAGGTCACTCTAAAATGTGCACAGATGTCTCAGGTTTTGAAGGAGTGTGCAATTCTCCTGAGTCCTCCTGAGTGGCGCAGTGGTCTAAGGCACTGCATCGCAGTGCTAACTGTGCCACTAGAGATCCTGGTTCGAATCCAGGCTCTGTCGCAGCCGGCCGCGACCGGGAGACTCATGGGCGGCGTACAATTGGCCCAGTGTCGTCCAGGGTAGGGGAGGGAATGGCCGGCAGGGATGTAGCTCAGTTGATAGAGCATGGCGTTTGCAACGCCAGGGTTGTGGGTTCACTAACTGTAAGTCGCTCTGGATAAGAGCGTCTGCTAAATGACGTAAATGTAAATGCAATTGGCATGCAGGAATGTACACCAGAGAATTGAATGTTCATTTCCCTACCACAAACCAACGCTGTTTTAGAGAATTTGGCAGTACGTCCAACCAGCCTCAAATTTGTAACCACGCCAGCCGAGGACCTCCACATCTGGCTTCTTCACTTGTGGGATCGTCTGAGACCATCCACCTGGACAGCTGATGAAACTGGGGGTTTGCACAACCGAATAATTTTGGCACAAACTGTCAAACCTTCTCAGGGAAGCGCATCTGTATGCTCATCGTCCTAACCAGGGTCTTGACCTGACTGCAGTTTGGCGTCGTAACCGACTTCAGTGGGCAAATGCTCACCTTCGATGGCCACTGGCACGTTGGAGAAGTGTGCTCTTCACGGATGAATCCCGGTTTCAACTGTACCGGGCATATTGCAGACAGCGTGTATGGCGTTGTGTGGGTGAGCGGTTTGCTGATGTCAACTTTGAACAGAGTGCCCCATGGTGGCGGTGGGGTTATGGTATGGGCATGTATAAGCTATGGACAATGAACACTATTGCATTTTATCGATTGAAATTTGATTGCACAGAGATATCGTGACGTAATCCTGAGGCCAATTGTCATGCCATTCATCCGCTGCAATCACCTCATGTTTCAGCATGATGATGGACAGCCCCATGTCGCAAGGATCTGTTCCTGGAAGATGTAAATGACCCAGTTCCTCTATGGCTTGCATACTCACCAGACATGTGACCCATTGAGCATGTTTGGGATGCTCTGGATCGATGTGTACGACAGTGTGTTCTAGTTCCCACCAATATCCATCAACAGCCATTGAAGAGGAGTGGGACAACATTCCACTGGCCACAATCAACAGCCTGATCAACTCTATGTAAAGGAGTTGTCGCGCTGCATGAGGCAAATGGTGGTCACACCAGATACTGATTGGTTTTCTGATCCACACCACTACCTTTTTTTTAAGGCATCTGTGACCAACCGATGCATATCTGTATTCCCAGTCATATGAAATCCATAGATTAGGGCCTAATTTATTTATTTCAATTGACTGATTTCCATGTAACTCTGAAAAATATTTGAAAAGGTTGCATTTATATTTTTGTTCAGTGTAGTTAAGCAAACTAACAGAATGCATAATAGCCTTGTATCTTGCCAGTGCTAACAACAAGGTAACTGCTTCATAGCATTTCCTGACTATGATAGGCCTGCTCCCTAGCAGGCTCATATTTGTGTTTGCATTACAAATTACAACAAATAGCTAACCCCTAGCTGTTTGACATTCATGAATTCACGGTGATGGTGTGTTTTTTTCAATTGCTTTCCATTATCATCAGCACCATGGAACCCACAGCCTCTGGAATGTTCTGTAACAGAATGCTCAGCATGGTCAACTCTGAGGATGTCAACGCCATCGTCCAAGCCCAGAGGCACATGTGAGTAACAGTCTGGACTGCTGCACAGAGCACATACTATATCTGCTCTGAGCATTGATATTACTCACATAAAGTAATGTTTTCCAACTCCAGTCCTCGGGTACCCCCCTAACAGCACACATTTATGTTATTCCTCTGGAGAAACACCTCATTCAACTCAGGTGTGCTTGTCCAGGCCTACAATAAAAATTAGTACTGTTGGGGGTACTTGAGGACTGGAGTTGGGAAACACTAACATAGATAACAGACTAGCTGGCTCCATGGGGTCTTGATGAATGGCCTTGCACTCACTATGATATGTTACAATAGTCAAATACAGCACAACATTGGTTCATTTTGGGTCATGCAGATCTGAGGTGATTTTATTACACCAACAAAACATAGCCTAGAGTCTAGACCTACTAATTTCATTAACACTCAATCCTGTTACAGTCAGCGTGTGCAGACTGCAGCAAAAACAGGCACAGCTTTGCCAAAGACTGATGCAAATAGGACACCATTAATTTCAAATTATCGCTATAATAGAGCCTATATATCTTGCTCGTCATTGCCTCCTCTCCCAGGCTGGACCGCTTTGAGAAGACCAATGAGATGCTGATCAACTTCAATGGACTTTCCAACGTGCGGCTTCAGCAGATGAACGACCACTTCCTGCTTCACACGCGCACCCTGGTGGAGATGAAGAAGGACTTGGACAGCATCTTTAGGAGAATCAGGTGATGGACCCGTCCTAATACTACCCCCATTGTCTTCTGACAGATGGCGTCATTCTAACGCGACACGCATTGCCATCACGCTATCTGACGTAAGACAATGAGGCTACCCCTAGACCCGGCCTCTAGACCCCCTATTCCCTATTTCCAAAAACAACCCCACGCCTTTCTGTAGATCTGACACGGTTGGATAAGTGTAAGCAATCTGGCAACATCTCCACCCAACCTATCAGGGGACAAGATGGGATCTACTACCATACCTATCACATTTTCAGATCTACATGAAGTGCTTAGGGGAAGGGGCACGGGGTTGTTTAACAACCATATTCTTGGTGGATTATATACTTCCTCCAAGTTGTTTCTCCAAGCACATATTATACTGACTACGAATGGAAACGTTCATCTGACAGTGATGGTCAGTCACACACTGTCTCTTGTCCAATTTTCGCTCTTAGCTCGTGGGAGTAGTCACAAAATTATTGCTCTAACCTTGGTTTCTTTCTGTTCTGTGAACATAATCCAGATATTCATGTTTTTTTCTGTCCACGTAGGGCTTTAAAGGGCAAGATCGCCAAGCAGTACCCAGAGGCCTTCAGCAGTGAGTTTGACATTTTACAGTCATGAGAGCAACATTGGCAGACAGACAACAGATACAGTGAGGGGGAAAAAGTATTTGATCCCCTGCTGATTTTGTACGTTTGCCCACTGACAAAGAAGAAATGATCAGTCTATAATTTTAATGGTAGGTTTATTTGAACAGTGAGAGACAGAATAACAACAAAAAAATCCAGAAAAACGCATGTCAAAAATGTTATAAATTGATTTGCATTTTAATGAGGGAAATAAGTATTTTACCCCCTCTCAATCAGAAAGATTTCTGGCTACCAGGTTCTTTTATACAGGTAACGAGCTGAGATTAGGAGCACACTCTTAAAGGGAGTGTATAAAAGACACCTGTCCACGGAAGCAATCAATCAGATTCCAAACTCTCCACCATGGCCAAGACCAAAGAGCTCTCCAAGGATGTCAGGGGACAAGATTGTAGACCTACACAAGGCTGGAATGGGCTACAAGACCATCGCCAAGCAGCTTGGTGAGAAGGTGACAAAAGTTGGTGCGATTATTCGCAAATGGAAGAAACACAAAAGCACTGTCAATCTCCCTCGGCCTGGGGCTCCATGCAAGATCTCACCTCGTGGAGTTGCAATGATCACGAGAACGTTGAGGAATCAGCCCAGAACTACACGGGAGGATCTTGTCAATGATCTCAAGGCAGCTGGGACCATACTCACCAAGAAAACAATTGGTAACACACTACGCCATGAAGGACTGAAATCCTGCAGCGCCCGCAAGGTCCCCCTGCTCAAGAAAGCACATATACAGGGCCATCTGAAGTTTGCCAATGAACATCTGAATGATTCAGAGGAGAACTGGGTGAAAGTGTTGTGGTCACATGAGACCAAAATCGAGCTCTTTGGCATCAACTCAACTCGCCGTGTTTGGAGGAGGAGGAATGCTGCCTATGACCCCAAGAACACCATCCCCACCGTCAAACATGGAGGTGGAAACATTATGCTCTGGGGGTGTTTTTCTGCTAAGGGGACAGGACAACTTCACCGCATCAAAGGGACGATGGACGGGGCCATGTACCGTCAAATCTTGGGTGAGAACCTCCTTCCCTCAGCCAGGGCATTGAAAATGGGTCGTGGATGGGTATTCCAGCATGACAATGACCCAAAACACACTGCCAAGGCAACAAAGGAGGGGCTCAAGAAGAAGCACATTAAGGTCCTGGAGTGGCCTAGCCAGTCTCCAGACCTTAATCCCATAGAAAATCTGTGGAGGGAGCTGAAGGTTCGACTTGCCAAACGTCAGCCTCGAAACCTTAATGACTTAGAGAAGATCTGCAAAGAGGAGTGGAACAAAATCCCTCCTGAGATGTGTGCAAACCTGGTGGCCAACTACAAGAAACGTCTGACCTCTGTGATTGCCAACAAGGGTTTTGCCACCAAGAACTAAGTCATGTTTTGCAGAGGGGTCAAATACTTATTTCCCTCATTAAAATGCAAATCAATTTATAACATTTTTGACATGCGTTTTTCTGGATTTTTTTGTTGTTATTCTGTCTCTCACTGTTCAAATAAACCTACCATTAAAATTATAGGCTGATCATGTCGTCGTCAGTGGGCAAACTTACAAAATCAGCAGGGTATCAAATACCTTTTTCCCTCACTGTATGTTGTTTACTGTAAATAGTTTCATTCAGACATTCACAGTAGTTTATCGGGTCTTGTTAATTAGACCTACACATATCAGACACTTTGTAAAGTATTTGACGTAACGGAATTCAATGTTGTGATTCCAGATTCAGTAAGCCTTTCTCCTCAGTGCCTCTGAGGGTGCATCTTAATATTATTAAGTGGTGTTCTTTCTTCCTCCATCTGCACAAGGTGACAGCATAATTTCTGGATAGTAGGGATCCCCTATTGCGTTCACCTGTGCAGTTTTTTTTCCAATTAGTGTAGAAAGGAGGCCACTTTAGACTGAGATTCACCCTGAGTCTCTCCCTCTCCCACACAGACGTCCACGAGTCGCCTATCATGGAGGACGACGAGTTTGATCCCATCCCTGCCAGGGTCGCCATGACAATCACCACCGCCATGTCGGGGCAGAGCACCGAGTCATGTGACACGAGCCCCGACGTCATTTCCCGGACTGTAAGCCGGTGTTCCGAAGACTTCTCCCAGGAGCAGGCCGACACACCCACCTCTGACAAAGACCTGCCTAGCCCTGAAACGGACGTGCTGAGGGACGAGGGCCCGGACTCAGTGCATGCAGAGTAAGGCTTAGGACTAAAGCTCTACTCAGTGCCTGCAGACTAGGGCCTCCGTAACCCAGGCCTAGAGCTCTACTCAGTGCCTGTAGATTAGATAGAAGCAGCAGGAGGTCAATGTGATTGATTGGCTTCAGAGTTTTGACCAGTTATCTGGTAAGTCGGGTCTGAATCAGTAGCTGATTTGATGTTCAGGATGTAAACCAGCACACTGACTGCCGTTTGCCTCTAACCACCAAGACTGTGTTAGAAGAGTACACCTTACACAAGATCCCTTTTGTAGACATGCTTGCTCCATGCTTGTCCAGCACTCGCCACTAACAATGAAGAAGATAATTGCATTTGTGTGTGTTGTTGTGAAGAACTGAATCCTTTATTACTGACACAGGAGGACTGCACCCAGCTAGTCATTATTTGTTTGTGTGCACAGGAGTCTCTTTTATCATTAATAATTGTTTAGCTTGGAAATATTCACTCCTTTAAAGAGGTAGTGAGCTTTGTTGGTCATGGGTAAGCCTATTGGAAGCCAGCTAATCGCAATGGTACGGCCTGCCAAAATATGGTTACGTTTTTTAGTAACACACCTCTGTGTTATTTACCCTATTAAAACTAGATCCTGACCGATATGGTTATTTGGGTCCGATTTCTGGGGGGACAAAACTTACCGATACAGATATATCTGCCGATATACTGTTTTACAGCAGGGAAAATAAAGTTTCATTTTCCACACTGAATTCTCATAAATTGCCATCCAAAAGAACAATTGTCCAAGAAATATGCTTCAAATGTTGATTTCTTACATTGTGACATCATGAGAATGGCAGAAAGCGTTCAGATAAGCTTGAGATTCCCTTTTTTCATCCTATTTATTGAGTATCAGTTATCGGCCAATACCGATATAGCGTTAAAATGGCAATATCGGCAGATAATTCCGGTGATGTAATATATCGGACAGCTTCTAATTGAAACCTCACCACCACCACAGAGACTTTTTAAAAAACATGCAAAATGTGTGAGTTGCTTCATGGAAGAGTTCAGTATTATTGTTTTCCATTGTCTCAGATATGCATTTTATTTTGTTGGGATGACTTGAGCTCAAGAACTAGGCTACATTGTAAATTACATCTCGATGAAGTGGCTAACTTAAGCTTTCTAAGTGTTTATCTGTATCATGTTTACGGTAAATGTTGCGTAACAACTTGAATGCTAAATTATATTAATAGGTTTGTTTAACAATTAAAATACTTGAAATATGACAACAAAAAACTCCAGCTTTTAATGTAACTTTTAGAAGTGGCGGAGCATTTGTCTGTCTAGACAGATGGGTTGACTCCCACGATGTACCAATGTTCCAGCCATACAGTGCATTTGGAAACTATTCAGACCCCTTGACTTTTTCCACATTTGTTTTTTCCCCCTCAATCTACACACAATAATACCCCATAATGACAAAGCAAAAACAGGTTAAGAAATGTTAGCAAATTGATTTTAAATAAAAACAGAAATCACATTTACATAAGTATTCAGACCCTTTACTCAGTACTTTGTTGAAGCACCTTTGGCAATGATTACAGCCTCAAATCTTCTTAGGTATGATGTTATAAGCTTGGCACACCTGTATTTGGGGAGTTTCTCCCATTCTTCTCTGCGTTGTCTTGGCTGTGTGCTTAGGATCGTTGTCCTGTTGGAAGGTGAACCTTCGCCCCAGTCTGAGGACCTGAGCACTCTGGAGCAGGTTTTCATCAAGGAGCTCTCTGTACTTTGCTCCATTCATCTTTCCCTCGATCCTGACAAGTCTCCCAGTCCCTGCTACTGAAAAACGTCCCCACAGCATGATGCTGCCACCACCATGCTTCACCGTATGGATGGTTCCAGGTTTCCTCCAGACGTGACGCTTGGCATTCAGGCCAAATAGTTAAATCTTGGTTTCATCAGACCAGAGAATCTTGTTTCTCATGGTCTGAGAGTCCTTTAGGTGCCTTTTGGCAAACTCCAAGTGGGCTGTCATGAGCCTTTCACTGAGGAGTGGCTTCCGTCTGGCCACTCTACCATACAGGCCTGATTGGTGGAGTGCTGCAGAGATATTTGTCCTTCTGGATGGTTCTCCCATCTCCACAGTGACCGTCAGGTTCTTGGTCACCTCCCTGACCACCAGGGCCCTTCTCTCCCGATTGCTCAGTTTGGCCAGGCGGCCAGCTCTAGGAAGAGTCTTGGTGATTCCAAACTGATGGAGGCCACTGTGTTCTTAGGGACCTTCAATGCTGCAGATCTTTTTTTAGTACCCTTCCCCAGATCTGTGCCTCTAAAAATATCCTGTCTCGGAGGTCTATGGACAATTCCTTCGACCTCATGGCTTGGTTTTTGCCCTGACATGCACTGTCAACTGTGGAATCTTATATAGATAGGTGTGTGCCTTTCCAAATCATGTCCAATCAATTGAATTTACGACAGGTGGACTCCAATCAAGTTGTAGAAACATCAAGGTTAATCAATGGAAACAGGATGCACCTAAGCTCAATTTCGAGTCTCATAGCAAAGGGCCTGAATACTTACAGTGGGGAGAACAAGTATTTGATATACTGCCGATTTTGCAGGTTTTCCTACTTACAAAGCATGTAGAGGTCTGTAATTTTTTATCATAGGTACACTTCAAAAACAAAAATCCAGAAAATCACATTGTATGATTTTTAAGTAAATTAATTTGCATTTTATTGCATGACATAAGTATTTGATACATAAGAAAAGCAGAACTTAATATTTGGTACAGAAACCTGTGTTTGCAATTACAGAGATCATACGTTTCCTGTAGGTCTTGACCAGGTTTGCACACACTGCAGCAGGGATTTTGGCCCACTCCTCCATACAGACCTTCTCCAGATCCTTCAGGTTTCGGGGCTGTCGCTGAGCAATACGGACTTTCAGCTCCCTCCAAAGATTTTCTATTGGGTTCAGGTCTGGAGACTGGCTAGGCCACTCCAGGACCTTGAGATGCTTCTTACGGAGCCACTCCTTAGTTGCCCTGGCTGTGTGTTTCGGGTCGTTGTCATGCTGGAAGACCCAACCACGACCCATCTTCAATACTCTTACTGAGGGAAGGAGGTTGTTGGCCAAGATCTCGCAATACATGGCCCCATCCATCCTCCCCTCAATACGGTGCAGTCGTCCTGTCCCCTTTGCAGAAAAGCATCCCCAAAGAATGATGTTTCCACCTCCATGCTTCACGGTTGGGATGGTGTTCTTGGGGTTGTACTCATCCTTCTTCTTCTTCCAAACACGGCAAGTGGAGTTTAGACCAAAAAGCTATATTTTTGTCTCATCAGACCACATGACCTTCTCCCATTCGTCCTCTGAATCATCCAGATGGTCATTGGCAAACTTCAGACGGGCCTGGACATGCGCTGGCTTGAGCAGGGGGACCTTGCGTGCGCTGCAGAAATTTAATCCATGACGGCGTAGTGTGTTACTAATGGTTTTCTTTGAGACTGTTGTTCCAGCTCTCTTCAGGTCATTGACCAGATCCTGCCGTGTAGTTCTGGGCTGATCCCTCACCTTCCTCATGATCATTGATGCCCCACGAGGTGAGATCTTGCATGGAGCCCCAGACCGAGGGTGATTGACCGTCATTTTGAACTTCTTCCATTTTCTAATAATTGCGCCAACAGTTGTTGCCTTCTCACCAAGCTGCTTGCCTATTGTCCTGTAGCCAATCCCAGCCTTGTGCAAGTCTACAATTTTATCCCTGATGTCCTTACACAGCTCTCTGGTCTTGGCCATTGTGGAGAGGTTGGAGTCTGTTTGATTGAGTGTGTGGACAGGTGTCTTTTATACAGGTAATGAGTTCAAACAGGTGCAGTTAATACAGGTAATGAGTGGAGAACAGGAGGGCTTCTTAAAGAAAAACTAACAGGTCTGTGAGAGCCGGAATTCTTACTGGTTGGTAGGTGATCAAATACTTATGAAATGCAATAAAATGCAAATTAATTACTTAAAAATCATACAATGTGGTTTTCTGGATTTTTGTTTTAGATTCCGTCTCTCACAGTTGAAGTGTACCTATGATAAAAATTACAGACCTCTACATGCTTTGTAAGTAGGAAAACCTGCAAAATCGGCAGTGTATCAAATACTTGTTCTCCCCACTGTATGTAAATAAGGTATTTAAGTTTTTTATTTTTAATACATTTGCAAAGATTTCTAAAAACCTGTTTTCACATTGTCATTATGGGTTATTGTGTGTAGATTGATGAGGATTTTTATTTAATCAGTTTTACAATAAGGCTGTAACGTAACAAAATGTGGAAAAAGTGAAGAGGTCTGAATACTTCCCGAATGCACTGTAGGTATGGGATTTCCGAGACTAGCTGAGCGTCGTTCCGTAGCACATGCACAGAAAGTACGGGGTTTAGCTATTGGGAAGAGGTGTCCAGAGAGTGGTCACGCAGCCACTCTGCCAAAACAGACTAAAACATGCTCCCTTGCCACATTGAAAAGGGTTAGATTAGCAGCCACAGGTGATCATTCTGAGAAGACGATTATCTCTGGTTGTATTATTTCACTTATAATTCACTGTATCACAATTCCAGTGGGTCAGAAGTTTACATACGTAAGTTGACTGTGCATTTAAGCAGCTTGGAAAATTCCAGAAAATGATGCATGGCTTTAGAAGCTTCTGATAGGCTAATTGACATCATTTGAGTCAATTGGAGGTCAGTGCCTCTTTGCTTGACATCATGGGAAAATCAAAAGCAATCAGCCAAGACCTCAGAAAAAAGATTGTAGACCTCCACAAGTCTGGTTCATCCTTGGGAGCAATTTCCAAACGCATGAAGGTACCACGTTCAACTGTACAAACAATAGCATGGGACCACGCAGCCGTTATACCGCTCAGGAAGGAGACACGATCTGTCTCCTAGAGATTAACGTACTTTGGTGCGAAAAGTGCAAATCAATCCCAGAATAACAGCAAAGGACCATGTGAAGATGCTGGAGGAAACAGGTACAAAAGTATCTATATCCACAGTAAAATGAGTCCTATATCGACGTAACCTGAAAGGCCGTTCAGCAAGGAAGAAGCCACTGCTCCAAAACCGCCATAAAAAAGCCAGACTACGGTTTGCAACTGCACATGGGGACAAAGATC